TTGTGAAAGGCTATACGAAAAAGTCCTGAATTACGAAGTTTATGTATGTTTCCAGATGTATGAAAACCCATTGAAACCATTTGGTTTCAATTTTCCATCTGAAAAGCCTTTCTTTGTGCAATAAATAGCAACAACACTCAGTAATGAACACAGTCTTAGTCTGATATGGCCTGTTCTGGTTTTAACTTTGGAAGCTTCTCTGAGTCACACATCTAAGGGTAACATCAAGCCAAAAATGCAGCAGAAGGAATTTAGCAATTATGAACCAACAAGCAAATTAGTATTTCAAAGTATCACTAAACCTTTCGTAGTCTAATGCAACTTAAACATATTTCCTATAACATATGGGGAATTATTTTTCCCATGCTGCAGTTAGTTGCACAACACTGGAAAAGTCCTTCAGTATGATCAACTTTTCATAAGGAAAAGCTCTCGCTTGTCCAAAGTCTTCTTCAAGGAAACACAGAATTCAGACTGTTGAGTTTCTCTCTACCCAAGCTTTTATTACTCTAGCTAAATGCTATGAAAATACTAGCAATCAAAAGAGGGAGTACCACTAGACTAGACTCATGGAAAAGGTAAGTAAAGCACGAGGCTTTACTTGGTTATCAGTGACTTAAATCAGAGATTTAAGTACTAATGGTACCCAAAATGTCAGAACTAACTGTCAGACAGTGAAAGACATTTTGGTTACAAAGATGATTTATAGAATAGAATCATAGAATCGTTTGGGTTGGAAAAGACCTTTAAGATCATCCAGTCCAACCATTAACCCTAACACTACCAAGTCCACCACTAAACCAATGAAGGGTAGTGTAATAATTTCATGTTTCCTGGCTTGGTGGTTGGATTATTTTTTAATGAAAGTAAAAACTAGGAATCATTAAGGTTGAAAAGGATCTCCAAGATCATCAGTCCAACCATCAACCCAACACCACCATGCCCACTAAACCATGTCCCAAAGTGCCATGTCTACCCATTTTTTGAACACAAAACATAACATGTTACATGGCTTTCACTGATTTCTGGAAGTCATTCCTAACAATAAGTAGGAATAATATTTTTGATGCTTTCATATCCCCAAATAGTTTCAATTATGCATAAGGCTTGACAGAGCTCTCTTAGCTAAGACATCAACAATGTGAAGTTTCATACAGTGGGAAATACTTGAAAGCAATGGTATTATTTTAAGGCAGAAGCGTACATGTAGCATATCAGAAATCTTAACTTGCAGGTGAAGCTCCATTCATTTACATACTTACAGGTAGGTTGTAGTCAGCACTAAGACCAAAAAAATGTAGTGGTGGGCTTTTAGATTTTTAGTTCTAAAGTAAACCATTTATATCCCTATTTTACACTGTTCAAACACAAATCAAACCATTTCCTGTGGCTCAAACTGTCACAGTGTTTCCATCCAACTGCATGGGTGGTAGCATGTGGCTGCTGGGGCAGGCTGACAGTAGAAGAACTTGGAGTGACATTCCATGGGGTCACCAAATCTCCTTGGCTTCTCCAGTCCCCTTCCACCCCTCCCTTCAAGTGAGAGAGACATGACTCTTCCCAAACCATAATACCTCAACTATTAGCAGGCTATTACTCCTCCATAGTGGTTATGTACATCCAATTAGAAGGCTGTGTGCATTTGCTGGGAACAAAAACAATAGCTGCTTTCATTTCTGGACTGGTTCAAAGTCCTGAACCAGGGCTCCAAAATTACACACGCCTTCCAGTAAGAGCTAGGTAACATAAACACCTTATTCTGTGTCTTGAATTCTAATAAATGTTTTCACTAACAGAAAACTAACATAGCAAAAGGCATACTGCCTGCCATGCAGTACTACAGAAATCTACACACACCACCATGGAAAAGTTAGCTGTAGAGAATTAAGATTTTTGTTCAAGAATGAGTATGGGATTGCAGCTCATTCTCCCTTATGGAGGAATGGAGACAAATAGTTACAGAAATAACTGAGGCATCTAGCTTGCAACTGTGACCTGATTTCTAGATTTGCTACAGAAATTGGGCTTTCACATTTCACAAACCACTTCGGTACACGGAATCAAGTTGGGCTCACCTTTTAGAGAACCAATTTCTAATTCAGCAAAACCTCGAAGTTCCAGCCAAGATACACTAATACTGGTGAACAGTGGTCAGCAACCATTTTGAAACAGCTAAAGTTATTTCTAGCTTAATGTGCTCTGCAAAAAACATCACAAAAATACAATGCCTGAGATACGAGTTTTCCTCTCCTTCTGCTGTCCTTCTGCTGTTCGGGAGAGGATCAGGGAAGCTCGATGATCTCTCAAGGTCCCTTCCAACCTAAAGCATTCTATGATTCTATGATTTCTTTAGAAGACATGCTTCCTATCAAGTTAGTGCATTACTGCTGAAAACTTACAGTTTACATTTACAAGTGAAAAAACCCTACGAAAATGTCAACTCCTGCCAAGTTGCAAGGATCATGGTGTTTTATACAGGGCACTTTTTTTTTTGTTTGTAGGGGAGTTTCCTGCTTCCCACTCAAAATGACAGTGCACGATACATTTCACTGCTCACAAGCTCTTGATTATTCTGGGACTAATACTTACACATTTTGGACAGACAGCCCGCTCCTCCTCCATCAACATATACATGTGAGAGATGACACAGAGCTATACCATCACTTCTCTTGTTCAGAGTATTTAATGGACTCGCTACACTGATTTGTCTGCCTGCCCAACAATCCAAATACAGCCAGCAACTGGTTAAGAATTAGCTGCATTTATGGTAGTACCTCAGGAAGCAACGAGGTCATTAGGATTTGCACATTTTTAAGACTCTGCTTGACAAATGCCTCAACAACCTAGTCTGAGTTCATTGCTGACCCAGTTACAGGCAAGGGGGGGGGCTCGACTAGGTGACCTCCAGAAGTCCTTTCCATCCTGGATTTAGCTAGTCTGTCTGTAGTCTGAAGAAATCCTGACAGCAAACAACTGTACAGCTACCGAGTTATTTATCTGCGCTACTGGAATTATATCAAGGCACAAGTTCAACACCAAAGTGTTCAAATGACTTAACTGGAAAAAACAGTTATTCCCTACAGGAAGGCTTTAGCTAAAACAAGTAACCAGGTTTGGTTTACAAGCTGCCACTTGGCCACAGTATGTGTATGTACAGTTTTACTTCAAAAACTTTAAAAACAGATGGGGTCAGTGGCAGTGGATAGTGTTTTACCCAAAAGGTGTGGTCTCATAATACAGCAGGGCTTTCGTAGGAATACCAAGTAACTCCTACCTTTCCCCATCCTTGCTTCTTCCAGCCTATACTCCCATCCCCTGACATGCACCAGTACCGTGTTTACCAGGGAGCAAGGAACCATGCTTAAGAATTCCCTTGGCAAGGGATGGGGAAGTTAACCTGATACAGTTTAATGCAAGAAATCCTACTTTGTAGCACCAAAACATTGCATAAGCAAAATGACAGGTAAGATGTGCTAGGAAGGGTGGGCATTGGCAGAGAGGTGCTGGGGACAGGGCATGAAAAAAAAATATTTTCATGGACAGCATTAAAGTTCCAGTCTCATCAGACTACAGCACAAGTTTGAAATGTTGAGGTGCTGCTTCGTGCTTTTACCTTGAGCAGCCTTTTTCCAAGAGGAAAAATTTGGAAGGTATTCTAGTGACTACTATACTTTCAACATATAATGAGTTAAAGAGTGACAGCTTTAGCTAAAGAAACTTGCTGAGTACAGGTTTTCATTTTCAACAGCAAATTACTTCTGCTTCTGAAAGTGTATCGGATTTTTTTTTTTTATGAAAGGAAGAATTTAATCCTATAACCCAGCCAACTCTTACATTTCTAGTGATGGTGTCTACTCTGGATTAATAATCTGAGGGAGAAATATACAAATATATCTATATCCATCTCATTTCTAAGACCATAACTACAAACAGAAAAGCTCTAAATAGGTATTTAGAGAGGTGATGAGTCGTCCAAGAAATTGGTGGCTTACAGGTAGGTACCTAGTTCACTGAACAAGTACCTCACATTAGCAAGGATCAAGTCATAGAATAGCCTATATCGACCTTCTTTGAAGGATTAATCCCATAAAGGACTACAGATACAGATTTTATCATGCTTCACCACCTGTATGTAATTAAGAGGAGTATTTTGGACTGGTTTATAATCTTAGATTGAGTGGGTTAAGAAAAAAAAAAGAACAGGTTTTACTGGGTATAGCTGGGTGTGCACACTTTCCAAATTACAGTGTACTGTAGTGTAGTCATTTATAGCCAGGCTACCTTTGCAATTAGCTATATTGCCACACTTAGTTAAAAAAAAGCACACAACCTACAAGAGCATTTCTGAACCTCTACAGTACAATTACAGAATGTAGTTTCCAGTCACCAGATTTGAACAGCAGCTTATGGACTAGTTTTCAGATTTCCTCTCCACCCCCCCCCACCCCAGCCCTTGGTATTAATCAGTCTGAGCTTAATTAGCAGCTCAAGCAGTAGTCTCTCCTTCGATTATGTTCTTCCCTTTCTACAAAGTATGGAGCTGTACCAAAACTAGGTTGAACAAAATATGCTATGTCCTCAAATAAGGGCTTGTTCCTATTGGGATAGCATGCAGGTGCTTATCATAAATGCTTTGTACCCGAGCTCTGTATTTTCTCCTCTTCACTTGTACATCTTCTGAGTAATTTCAGTTGTAATTCTGCAGAACACTGCTATATAACAAAACTATAAATAATAATATTTAAATATTGTTTCTTCTAGTAGCACCACACCCTCCTAAACACATTCCTTACAAGATGAGATTTTACAATGATGGGGTATAACCTGCTTTTTTCCCCCCGCCCCGTATTAGCAATTTGCTATTTAGACAGAATCTTATTTAGCACCACGAATACAGCTCTGGAACCATCCTAAAAGTTCTGTCAGAAAGTACATTAAGTATATAACCAGTTTCTTAAAATTAAGGTAAGTGGTAGTATTCCAGTGAAAAATTCTCTTACCAGAGCTTGATGACAGAACAGCTCCTTTGTGAGACGGTGCTTTAATTGTGCAGATAGTTTTATTTTCACATCCTCTTTTCAAGGGCAACACAGATGGCACCATTTTAACCTTGGGAGCTGATACACTTCGTAGTGTGATTGGGTCTTTCTTCGGTATGTTTTTCTCTTGTGTTGTCCCATCTTTCACAGAAGGCATCTGTTTGGGGTTTTTTTTAAAAAAAAAAAGAGAAAAAAAGAGAAAAAAGAACCACCACACACCACCACTGTGAGAAGCTGAAGATCTCCCTTTCCAGCACCTGTAATGAAATACTGACCACACAGGTAAGGGATATGCTTAGCTGTTTGATGTCACATTGTCCATATCTGCAGTTCAGAACCTCAAGAATAATCTCCTGAATGACCCTTAGCAGCACAATACTGTAAGTTAGAAGCTAAGGGCTGGTAATGACAAACACACTAAAGAGGTTACAGAGGTCATTTTACATAAGGGTTTCTTCTTCTTCCTCCCCAAACTCTAATTAAGCCATTCAATTACATGACTGCACCTAATCTCAAGATGAATTCTTCACCAGCCCTTCCAATAGGTTTCCTGGTCTAGGTCTTAAGTTACAACACAGAAACAGGTTAAAATCTTCCACATCCAGGTGCCATAGATAAACTATAAATCCAGGAGTGGGCCCAGGACAGGTTTAAAATAACCAGTTTATATGTAGCACTCATCTATCTTCCATACAGAATTCTTGCTCCAGTTTATATATGCAGTAATTCATGACCACTCATGCTGTAAAGTTTTAAGGCTATGATGGTAAACTCATAAGAATGTACAAATCTTCATACGCTTTTCTGTGACTCAAGGCAATATGCAGCGATTTGGTCATCTTCATTTTCAGAAGTTAATCTGTACTTTTCAGAATAACACTTAAGTTTAGTCCAGCTGACTGGTCTACTGCACGTTTTATTGAAATTGCTCTATGGATTTTCCAGGTACCCACAGAACAGTTAGTATCAGAGGTTCCCATTTTGGCGACAGGGTGAATTAAAAGCAATCTCTCTAATGCTTGACACCAAAAGGAAGGAGTGAAGCAGAATCCAAGCTCTGAAAGACTTTAGAATTAATATAAACCATCCTTGTTTTCACATTAATTTAGGTTTAGGTTAAATTATTTATTACAATAAATAATATTATTTATTAATTTTCTCTGTAATGCTTCAAAAATGGATAGCTGCTTCTGTTTTACTTTAAGTAGCTTCCTCCATATACTGAGCTTTACTGGAGTTTTTCTAGCAAATCAGTAAAGCCTGACAAAAATTCAGACAATGCCAGTTTTACCAACAACAGCTACTGCCTCCATTTCACCAATTTAACATAAGCTGTTGAACCCACAAGTGAACAACAGGAGGGATTCCATATAATATCAAGACTCCATCTCTGTGTCCCTGCCATGCCTCCCGAGATCTTGGTCGACCTAACCCCGAAGCTCTTCCTTTCTTTCTCACTGTTCCTATTCTTTGAACCCTCTTTCATTCTTTCAGAGCATTTGAAAGCAGACATTTCTCCTGACAGGCAGCTGACTCGTCCGAAAATATTTCCCAACCAACCAGCGCACACATACCTCCCGGCCAGGAAGTTTGCACCTTCCAGCTGGCTGACTGCCCAAAACCAGGTATATGCCCTCTGCATGAGAAATATTTCCTGGCTACTCTTAAGTATTCTAATGAGTCCCGGTTCTACTTCAAATAAATGAACTTCCAAATTATTCACAGCAGACAGTTAAAGACGTTAAAAATAAAACGCTTGACCAGCTTGTAGTCTTGGGGTGTTGTGTGACTTAATATTATTGTTAATCTTATGCACAACATTTCTGTAAGTAAATTTAAAAAGTGTAATTTAGTTCTAAAACACGTTTTGAAAGGAGAAAACCTGAAAACAGCAATTTATCTCTCATGTCTACCTGAAGTTACAGCAACACTAGAATTATCTTGATAAAAGCACATATTAAAAGCTATATTTAGAAAGACCTTATCAAGTTATGCTATGCAATTTTACCAGTTTGACTAAACTAAGACTAGTTTGCTTTTATTAGAAACCTTACCAACTGCATTGTCTTAAAAAGACTGTACAAAAAAAAATCTGTACCTTGGCATAAGATGAAGGCTGAAGACACCAAACAGCACTTGAGGCCAAGTTCAACCAGTTTCTAAAACTGTACTACTTCATTCCCTTTATTAGGGAGAGACTTTACCTCAGAAATTAACACTACAGTTACATTTGTAGACAAAACCCATTCCACAATTTCCATTCAGCACTGTGCAATGCAGTGTTCCCTCCTTCCAAATGTACAAAACATATAATTAAGCATGTACAGAAAAAAGCTTACCAAAGGAACAGAGTGACAGTCAAATGTTTCGTTCGCCACATCTTCTAACAAGGCTGCTTCCAGAAGAATTCCCATGTTGCTGTTTTGCTCTTTTTCACCTCCAGACAGATAGATGTTTTGAGCACAGGGCTGCATTAAAGAGTTTGAACTTTCCATTTTATCGTTCAGCATCTCTTTCGAGTTCTCTACGCACATTGGAAGCACAGCAGAAACTGAGGAGCATGCCGAATGGGTAGAGCTCGCTTTGCCGGTGCCTTCTGGATTCTGCTTTAACGCAGGTGTCTTTGAAGCCTTGTGGGAAGTGTTTCTGGGATGTGTTGTGGCATGTACGACTTGGCTAGTGAAGAGGTGTTTGTTAAGATGTAGCTTATGGGGCTTATTCACAGGCAATTCCACTTTAGTATCTTTAGCTAGATCTATTTTCTTTTTCAGCACTTTTATAGAGGGGGACAATTGCCTCGAGGAAGCAACCAGTGAAGATGAGGAGACAGCTGACAGCTGGGGGGACTGGGGAGACTGTTTTAATGCCACACTGTCTCTCGACTGTAGCACAGGCCTAGACATAACCTTTGGCTTAACATTTTTGAAATTAGGTTTGGGAAAACTAACAATCTCAGATTTCTTCGCTTTGGTTATTGTTGACACAATAGGAGACCTGCCCACTGGTTTTCCTGAACTAGCTTTAAGCAAAGGCCTTCTATTATGTCCTCCTACAAATGCCTCGTTTGGTCTTAGTTTAGGAGACTTGTCTCCAAGTTCTGCCAAAGCTGAAACAGAAAAAGTTGTATTATTGGATCGTTCTTTAGGGGTTGAAGTACATAGAGCAGGATCGCTTTCATCAGCCACAGGACTGAACACCAGAAAAGTTGCTTCGCATTTCAGCTCAGGAATAACAGTCCTCTTTAATTTTGGTACACTGCAAGATATGAAAGAGGTGTTGTGCATATCCTGAAGAGCTGCATTTCCAGACATACTTTGTTCTTTGGTTAAGGGTTCACTGGTTTTCTTTGATAATTGTTCTCCATCCATTTTATCTACTGGAAGAAGGTGCACGTTATTTACAGGACTATCCATGCATGTTTCAGCATTGGAATTCCCAGTTTCATTATGGTCAGGGGTATCCTGCAAGGATTTCACTTGGTCATCTTCATGAATACTAATGCATGGTAATAACGCATCTTGCATATAAGTATCTATACATCCAGCAGCTAGTTTTACAGACTGTGCTTCTGTTTCCTGTGATTCTTTATCAGTCTTGTTAGTGTTTTTTAGATAGTGTTCGACACCTGCAGAGGCAGGACAATATACTTCAAGTTCTGAATAGGCATCTGGGCTTTCTGAAGCCACTGTTGTAGAAGAGAAATTAGGTGTTCTTTCTGAGCTGGTTCTATCAAATTTCTCTCTCGTACATACTTCAGTAGAGATTAGCATCTCCCTCAGATGCATGTCATCGTTTTGATCAGTTCCCAGAGTTTCAACTATAACATTAGTAACATCCAATGTGCTCAGGTGGCAGCATGCCCTGTCCTTTATCAGGGACTGTGCGTTCTGCTCTGAAACAGGAAGAGGTAATACACACTTAGAGTCAGTCTGACTGTAAGGCACCGATTGATTGATACTCTGATTTTGCATTTTTGCCATAGCAATGTTACCTTTCAGTAAGTTTGTTGTTTCTTTCAAGTCACAGTTCAAAGGATACACACAAGTATGTTCAGTCACATAAGACTTGCATGCAGCATCTGCATCTCCTAACAGAGCTCCTGTGCAGTTGTATTTACCAGGTGTCTTCTGCAGATGAAGTGCTTCAATACATTGCTGTTTTAAAAGAATACTTCTGAAGTCACTATTATTTTCAAGAACAGTATCATCTTCATGCTCAGTCACTATATTTTGGTCAGTCGAATTACTGTGTGTCTTGGTGGCACAATTCTTTGAGGAAGGTGTAGCTTTGTCATGTGCATAGTTATTTCCATTTTCATCCCTTATAAGTAAGGAAGACTTCAAGCCATTCTTTGCCTTGTCATCTGACTTTTCAACACTCATTTTGAATGCTAAATTTCAAACTATTTTCATTTTACACTTATTTAAAATCCCAGAGAATGCAGATTCTTCTGAACTTTGCAGAAAAAAACCCCAGCTTTTCCCTGGAACACGTCAACTGTCCTGAAAGAGATTTAAAAAGTAGTTCTTTGTTTTCATGTTTCCCAAGAGGATTCAAAAGTTCTGAAACTAAAAAGAAATAAAAAAAACAATTAGCCAAAACAGGATTTTTAAGACAGTAAGCATTCTTAACCTATTGAGTCTGTGAATCAAGTGCAGCCATTTTGACCAACTTCCTTCAGGAAATTAGGCTTTTGCAATGATGCCGTTCATACATGTTTACCTTCATAAGCCATTTCTTCTACCCTGACCACCAAGTAACTTTTGAACCCTTTGGTCAGTTGCAATCAAGTGTGACTTTAGGGTTGCATCCTCAGATATTTGGATTGCTTGGCTTCCACACAAGCAAAGGAACAACCCAAAAAGATCTGGCTCCTTAACAGGAGAAATGTATCTGAGAAATGTATCATGATAGAATGAACCATCATTTTTCCCTCCTCCAGGTACACAACAAAAGGGCATGGTTCCTCACACAGTGTGTAGTCAAGCTATGACGCTTCTTACTGCACAGTGCTTGAAAGCCAAAAGCTTACACAGGCTCAAACACAAGCAGGTAAGAGCCATGTAAGAAAAAAATCTGTCCAAAACTGAATACCAAACTAACTCCAGAAGCTCTGTCACAAGCTTGCAAGCAGCTACTCTAGGGAAGAAACACTACATGCTTATCCTGTTCTTACAATCTTTACTCAGCATTTAGCCCCGATTACTGCTTGAGATAGGACACGGCATTAGGTGGATGTTCAGTCTGACCGTGTCCAGTCACGTGTATGTTCTTATGTACAAGCTTGCATGAAGCCAGGAAATTGAGAGCGCTCTAAATTTTAATGATGAAATTCTGCTGTATGGGCTCAGGTGTAGAACAGACACCAGAGCAGCAACATAGAAGCAACACAAAGAATCCCAGTGAAGAAAAAGCTTCAGTGCTCATCCCTTGATGCACATAGCAAAGAGCAGTAACAACCCCAGAGAGCAGTTTTTCTCTGCACTGAAGGCCTTTTTCCTGCCTTTTGAGGCAGCAATGCAAAGCAGAGGCAGCTCAAGACCTTCAAAGGGTTAAGACAGCTAAGCTGAAATAAAGAGAAGATGGGGAGGTTCTTAATCAGCTCTGGAGTTACACTACTACACTACCCAATGTTGCTGGGGCAGCTGACAAGTAAATGCACGTGGGACCCCTTCAGAGTCACTGGAGAGCAACTCCCTATATAGCAACTGCACCCATCTTCTATACAGATGACAAAATTAGCCAAGTAGGGAAACAATTCCAGTGTCCTCTCCAGAAGAGCCACATATCTTCACCTAAAACCCTACAGAAGCAGAAAGGGGGGAAGAGATGGCATGGGAGGGGGAAGGCGGGGGAACCACCCACATCCCAAAAAACTGAAGAGCCCTTGCAATGTATAAGGACAAGTTCCTAGCAAGCAGTAAGACTGCACCCAGGTACCAAAACCACAAGGACATGAAAGAGAGAAAATCCAAACCATCCAAATCAGCTGGATGGCCTCCATAGCACAACTCCATATGAAAGGCTCCAGAAATGAGCCCAGACGTAGGAAGAACTTCAGATTTATAAGATATGGTTGCAGTGGGGTGGGGGATCTGGCAGAAAGAAGGGTCACTTTTGGAGCAATAAAGTCTAAACGGGAAGGACAGAGTTCACTGGATCCAACAAGGGAATCAGGCTGAAGATGCATTCACTGACAAAGGTCAGCTTCCCAACTGAAGAACAGGGAAATTGGACAGGTGTTGAATATCATCACACATCTGGAATGACAAATTCCACTCTCCAATCAAAGAGCAGGAAGGGGGAGGACACTTGCCATCAAAAACAATGAGCAAACAGGTCAGTGGTGTTTAACTAAAACGCAGACACCACAGTGTGCTGTTCTCAAGTGAGGATACTGATCTAATGACATATCTGAAATGTGATGGGAAGAAAGCAGCAGGACATGAACATGAGAATTAAGTGTATAGGATGGACAGAATAACGCCCACTAATATGAGAATTATATTAAATTCTGAAATTTTTTGACCAGAAGTTAACCACAATGAGTAGCAGAGTTCCTACAAGACTAAAAATCCAGAGCTAACATAACCAGAATACTTGATCTGCACTATCAACCATCTCAACTAGGGTGAAAATACTGGTTGCAATACCCTAACACAGGTCAAGGAAGCTACAAGACCAGAAAACAATAATAATGGGAGATTTCCGCTATCTCAATGTTGACTGGGCAAACTGAAGAGTAATTCTCTGATCATATTTTTGTATAGGAATCAATGACTGCTTTGGGAAACGAGTTTGCCATGACAAGAGAAGCAGCTCTTGATTTGTTCTCTAACAAAGAAATTTAGATCCTCACAGAAACCATATAAACCATTTTGGAAACCACAGCAGGGGAAAAAATCCAAATACTTATCAAAAAGGTTTTGGAAAGTGTAAAATAAAGACAGCATACTAAGTAGTGAAAGGTAAGTTACTAAAATCAAGAATGCATCATGCAAAAAGCTGACATTTTTCTTTAAACCTTGTTTTCTTCAGCTGGAAACATAGCTTGAGTAACTACATTCAAAATAAATCCTTTTTCATACCAATGAAAACTATAAAGCTTTCCAGACAGGCTGTAGGGCCTGTAAATAGTTTTGAGTACAAAAGCAGCACTCGAATTAAGACCGCTCTAGAACTGCAGGAATTTGCGTGCTCACTATGGACCAAACACAGAGTGGCTTCTGGCCCTCAACCGTGTGTTTACATGGGACTTTAAACATCTGTCTCAGACAGGGTAAAAAGACTGTGGAACAAGGCAAAAACCAGTTACTGAGATCAGACAGCACTCTCCTCTGGCTCCCCTTCCTTCCCCAACATGAAATGGCTTTACCAGCTTAAAGTCTTCTGGTTCCTTAAAGCTAGTCTAAACCCTTTGCCTACCCACTATTATTCAATCCCTATAGAAGCATGAACAATTTTAGTACCCTCATTTTCATCTTCCATTAGGAAATGGAAGGCAGATTCAAAAGAGTTCTTCCATAAAGAGTCTTCCCTGGAAGCAGGGCAAGAACCTGTCCTGAATAATTTTCCATTGATTTAAGTCAATCACGGAATCAACTGCTGAAAAATGTTTGCAAACTTTGCTTTCACTTTTGTTTTGACACATTAAAACTAGTTTCTGCTTGTCTGGAGACTAGCCCATAACACAGCTTGCTCACCTAGTCATGCAACAAAAAGTTAAGATTCCATTTTGATCCAGCATCAGCTCGGATCCAACCAGCAGTCTTACCTCTTTCAAGAGCTTTCTCACTACAGAAAACAGGGAACTTCAGTATGCCAAGACTTAGCAAGACTGAGATCCCAAGAATTTAAAGAATGACACATTAGCTTACAGTATGCATAGCTAATAATGCCAAAATTTGAAACACAGGCAGCTAAGTAAACCTTGATCCAATTGATGCTGAAGAAGCTCCAAGAAAAATAAAACTAGTTTTAAGACTGAGTAGAGAAATAGGGAAGTGCATTAAAGTTGCATATATGAGTGTGTACATGTACATATAGAAGTCTGCTCACTCAGTGCTCTGGACTTTCATATAACCAGAGAATACACAGTAATAAACCACAGATCCAACTATTTTTAAAGCAAATTTTCACTTTAGTAATGAATACTTTCATAGGCAATTAGACCAGCTTCAAATACAGATTCACATCCACACTTAGAGTCCTAAAAGTGCCCTGTATAAAAAGTGAGGTGTTCCTAAGGGTTAGCTATAGTGTATAAAAATCTGTAACCTAGATGAACACTAGTCCTCAAAAAATTGACATTCTGTAACTCTGCAGGTACTAATATGTTCATCAGGCTTATGAGAACACTTCCTGGTGATGCGAAATTCCTTAGATTTAAGGCCTGACATAGGAGGCTGAATGAAAAGTTAACCTCAGCCAGCATCTCCTCTGTAGGAGTGGTCAGTAGCAGACACAACAGTTACCCCTCCCAAGAACATTCCTTCCCAAGAATACACTGCTCCTGGCAACTAATGACTTGGGGAATTCTCTAAACTAAATACTAATAAACCTGCTTTGAGTTTGCCTTACATCAACAAGCATTACACACGCCTGGCCTCCACAACACCCTACAGTGCAGTGCAAGAGAGTTCAGCTGTTTTGTGCCTTCAGTAAAGCTCAACTTGCCAAATTTCAGTTGCACGTTTAAAGTGCTTACACACTGCAAAAAACATCTTATCAGAGCTCTAAGCTTTCCCTTTCCTCAACAGGTATAAGAGCTTGGGGTAACGGAGGCATCACTTTGAAAAAGAGGAGCTTGGCAAGCAGATTCTCCTAAAAGGGGAAGAGATCAGCTGCCAGCAGCCCCATATCCAGAAATACACACCACCACGCAGAACAGGGATCAAAACAAGGTCTTGTCACTTCCACTAACCTACAAGGGGTGTCCAGGGGTGTGCTGCAAAAGGGCAGAGGGACAGTGACTCCTTCAGTGCTGGGTAAACAGGGATCAAAACCCTATCAATTACAATAGAGAATTCAAGCTACAAGTTTACAAATTACTACAAGAATGCAAGTCAGTTTGTTATTGTCACAACACAGACAGTAATAATTTACACTCTTCCTGGTACTCTAGCTGGAACTCTGTTCTTTCACCCCCATCATCACAGTGTTTACTCAAACCCATCAGCTATGTTTGTGCAGCCTGTATGAGGGGGTAGGGGGAATAAATCTGAAAGGAGAAGGTGCCCAGACATGCAGGAAGGCGGTCTAGAAGTGCTCTAATCAACTGAATGTGCTTTGACACCAGACGAAATGCACCACCAGAATCTGTATTTCAGCAGAAAACCTATTACATTGTCACGACTACCAGCCACTGAAGTCAGAAACTATT